ATTTATCTATCATTTACTAATTTGTTAAAAATTCGAAGACGACGTTACGTCATTTTCTGATTTCAAACAAATAAGCATTTTTTCAAACATTTACCTGTATAGAGATGGAATTGAGTTGTCCTTTTGATCATTAAATGTGTCGAGCACGTAAGTCAATGCCACGTCTACGTCATAATGAGAGAGAACGAGCTATTGGTTGTGGCAGCAAATATGACTCTAATACAGGTTGCAAATCATCCCAATGTCTCTAGAATGAATATTGAAAGGCTTAAGACTCGTCTTAGAGATACTTGCACGACAAATAATCGTCCCCGAGGTTGCAGGCAACGTGAAACGAAGTTACGTCAAGACAGTCACATCCGCATTATTCATCTCCGGAATCGATTTGTAAACTTGTCACAAACAGCACGACAAACTCATGGAAGAAACAACAACAGGCTATATTCCCAAACAGTTTGTAACCGACTGCATCAAGTTGGCCTAAGAGCTCATCGTCCGTTGAAGGGACCTACCCTTACGCAGCGTCACAGGATGTCGAGACTTGAATAGACTCGGGTACGGATTCGATGGAATAGGCTTACATGGAGACATGTCCTTTTTACCGATGAATAGAAATTCAACTTGACATTTAGCGACGGCAAAGCCATGGTCTACCGGAGGTGCAATGCATGATTTTCTGATGCGTGCGTACAGGAAACGGATCGGTTTGAGGGTGGCGGAATTATGGTATTGGACGGAATAACCTACCAGGAACGCACCGATCTGACAATTATTGAAGGTAACTTAATGCAAAAAGGTATAGGAACGAAATTCTGACTCCACTCGTTCTCCCGTTTCTCCGAAGGCATCGTTTTAACCACGTTTTTCAGCAGGACAACGCCCGTTGTTACGTGGCACACATTTCAATGATTTTTTGGAGAATAATCACATTCGTGTGTTGCCGTGGTCAGCAATGTCTCCAGATTATCGCCAATGGAACATCTTTGGGACGAACTTGGACGGCCGATCAGAAAGAGCCCAAATCCATTGGAAACGCTCGCCCATCTCCGAATAGCACTTTTCAGGAAATGGAACAACACAAAGGGCCATTGATAAAGAGGGATGATCATGGGTAGTTTCTTCAAATACTGGAACATGAACGACAACCATATCACCAGTCTGAAAGCTCCGATGGCCAGTTCGGATGCTGTAATGAATAAAGGCAACAGTAGTATAACGCTGTGCGAAAACTCATAAATCGATAGAGATAAAAACAAATCCGGTTTTCAAACTAAAACTGAGAAATGGAATGGTGGGTCATTAAAAAAGTAAAAGACAGCACGTATGAAACCTAGTGCGACCAGATTTAAACGGATATAAAATGAATGAAGATAGAATATGATGCAGCAATCAAAGAACATGAGAAAAAATAATGGACAAGCTGGACAAGTGTGACCACAAACTCAAACATGCAGAACCATTTGATTAGTTAACTTCACGAAAATAAAATGGCAGAGGACAAGGTGATGAATGTTTGGTATGCAAAGAAATAGGAAGAACAAGATGGGGATATTCAATAGATTGACGGAGTGAGATGTGTTAAAATAAACTAGAGTAGATATCGAAACCTTAAAAATTGAGGGTAATACGTTGCATCATAATCATACCTCTCGTAAATACCACACACATGACGTTTACTATGTGCTGCACTTAATGTTATGTCACGTCACTTTGACATGTTACTATGACTAGTACATCTATCACATAGTCAAGAAGTCTTTTATTTCTATCTTAAGAAGGGAAAATGGATACAAAGCTAAAAGCCATTCGTTCCGGACATAAACGAGCACTTACAAGACTTTGGAAGAATTTTGGAGACATAACTGCAGAGATAGTCTCGATATAGAAATTGAGGAAGTCACAGCTATTTAAGATGCCGTGTCACAGAAAAGTGATATTCAGAAAGGTTTTAATAATAAAATTGTAGAAGCTTGCTCGGATGAAGACGTGGTGGAAGAAATTCAGCAAACAGATCAGTATATGTTCGTTTAGATTAAAAAATCCGTCAAATTAAAAAACTCATTCAATCCTCACAAACAACTAGTCATAATTTACCCGTCAATACTACCGTTTTTCAAGCTAGTCATGTTACTCCCTCTGATACACCCATACATATCATGATTTCACCTACAGGCAATAGTGTACCCGCAAGCGACTCCTCTCAATAGAACCCGCACGCCAATTGATTCACGTCGACACCTCTTGTACAATAAAATGCAGCATAGTTTTATACTAGTAACCCTGCTATATCAGGGAAAACCGTTAAACCCATTGGTTACTAGTAACCTTTACATTCTCATAATCTTTACAGTCTTGGGGAATCATCAAGAATATAGACCTTCTAGAGAGGTTAGTTTAAACATAGTTATTTTTAGTGGATTTGGAAACAAGTTATTGTAACTTATATTAATTATATCCCTCTCTACTTTGCCGGTGCGAGTGCTGCCTTGTAGCGGCATCAGCCTGGTCTTTTTCGAAATCTACAAGGTTGTCTTTTACGTGCAGTGATATGGATCTCTCTTAACGCGGGTCAGCCGTTTATCGTACCCTTCCGACAGACTATCATCGTTCCTGAAGACAATACTCGCAAATGGTGTCAAGGGAGAGCCGAAAATTTGGTCCCTGATTATCTCCCAGGAACGGAGATCGAACCACGAACCTTTGTGTTTGAAAAGAGAGATTGTGACTCCATGTCTAATTGTTTGATCCAAGAAATAAATGACTGAGATTACCTATCCATTTCTCAAAGAGATCATTGACATCACCCCGATTTCGCCTTCGCAATACCTTATCGAAGCGGTACGAGGTATTCAGAAGTTCGGGAACCCTGTATTTCCTCATCGTTGAAATCGTGGGAATTGGTAAACACGCGGATCCGACCCTGCTGTATAGTAGGCATGTCTGCATACAAGTTACAGTACACCTTATTTTCTTTCATATTTCTTATGACTTGCTGCCAAAGGTCTTAAGTCGATCTCTTTTTTGGTGGTGTTTTTGTTGGTGAACGAGATCATCTAAAGTACCAATCGCGCATGTGCGCGTAGATTTGGCTTTAAAGTATTTGATCATCTTCCTATCATGGTGTGGTCCCAGTGGTCGAGACAACTCGGCTTTTCTCCATTCTGGCGGGATCAACGTCGTGTTTTCGGCATAGCACTTTGACCTCTTTGTTGTGGAATTCGGTTACCTTTTCCGTCCATAGTTTTATGAAAATGCTTGACTTAAATACGGTATAAAAAAGCAACCTTGATCGTCACACCTTCTTGGGCTTTGGCGGCACTAAACAGTCGTATTTGGCAAGGAAAACATTGATGATGCTAAGAACAAACGTGAATTCTTTGTTCTGTTGAGATAGAACTGTAATCCAAGTTTCACCTAAACGAACAGCGATCAGGCATCGTTTCTCGAATTTACGTCGAAATGTTTTATCCGTCCAACGAACTTTTCTATTGAGACGCCCAGACCAATTGAACTTTGGTGAAGATGAGGTGTCAAACGGTGTCGCGTTCGATCTTCATTCTCATTGCTAGATTTTATAGAGTGCAAAGTTATCAATGCATGTTCCTGTCATTCACATAGTTGCGAGTTGTTGTATTCTTATGTTGAGCATCGATAGCTCATTTACACGGCTTGGTTCCACGTGGATGACAAGGTTCGAATCACAAAGAATTTATGTACATTTGATAAGGAATACACACCTTCCGTTGGACCAAATAAGTGTACAAAAAGAAGAGATCATGACGATACACAGCTTGAGCGACCCATGGACCAAGGTGTTTGTGGTTCTTACTGTATGTAATCGTTTTTTCAGCTAAGTAACAGGTCCCGTGAAGTTGTGCAACAAACGATCGGGGCGGGTTTATTTAGCTTGTTCATGAAACATCCACTGGTTGTACTCATAAAGTGGAATATCCTCGATCCACCCCTCCGTCGTCGCCCCTTGCTAGTCGTTAATTCGAAGCGGCTGTTTGTCTTTGTATTCTACTTACACTTCAGACTGCCGTAAGCCGTTATAAGCCGACGCTGCTAAAAAATCGGTCAGGTGTTTATGTTACGATAGTTAGGAAAATCTCTTCATCGACCTATCTATCTACTCCTGCAAAACGCACTGGGGAAGAGGTTCTTACAAATGACATAAGCGACCTGATTTCCGATATAGGTAAATGTCCCACATCACTCATCAATGTCATTGTTCGTCTTCGAACAGACCATCGGGAATTGACACAAACAGTAAGATCTTGGTGGTTTTTGATGAATTGGTGCTGAGTAAACAAAATAGTGCGAAGACTTCTACGTCCGAGTAGGACTCAACAACGCTGATTGATTCTATCTTTGTGAAAACTGCTTGAAACTCTCGCGCAAGACGATCCAACTTTGTCAAGATCTCTTTCAACAATACAACCAGAGTTTCCAGACACATTCACCGTTCGGCCCTGGTCAAAACTTCATGCTGGTCTGAGCCTTACGGCTTTGTCACCATTAAACGCTAATTTTTTTACGGTATTAAACACTAGATGATGTTTTCTAAAACGCTTTCAAACGCTTAAGGGAGTTTTTGCAAACGCTTTACATAAAATGACGTTTGTTATACTAATTATTGCCTATTCCAAGCAGCATGAAACACTTCACATGAAGTTCCAGGATTCCAGGATGAAAAGCATACCATCAAATCTAGTAACTTACAATAACTACTTGACAAACAAGGTTAAGTCGTGATCTAAACGAGTCTTTAAACCAGTCTTAAAAGGGCAAGAGAAAAAACTGCTTCTTGTAGTCTTACCAGTATCTGTACTGCATCCTCCATCTCCTAATTTGCAGATACATTACCTATCGATGCAGCTAAACGTGCTACCCTCGGACATCGTACACAGGAGTACCCAAATCTCAGCATTGGAGTTTGCAAAACATCCACGTAACCGTCAACGTTCAACGCTACCCAGTCATTTACTTCAATGCTGCATTTACCCAGTGCAAAAAGTATAGGTTGTACAAAAATGCAGCATAGCGCCACTCGATACCTTGCGCAACAGATGCGCCTGTTTCTCCTCTACAAGACCTATATAGTCATATCCCGTGACACCCACCATTATTTTTCTGTAGAAGCCATGGAACAGGCCAACTCCCTGTTTTTAACTTTTTTTCAAATGTTGAGCTCTAGTTTCAGATTTTTGAACATAACACCCTTCGATACCTTGCGCACTGTTTCTCCTCTACAAAACCTATATAGTCATACCCCGTGACACCCCTCATTATTTTTCTCTAGAAGCCATGGAATAGGCCAACCCCCCTGTTTTTAACAATTTTTTTTTCAAATTTTGAGCTCTAGTTTCAGATTTTTGAACATAGCGCCCTTCGATACCTTGCGCAAAAGATGCGCCTGTTTCTCTTCTACAAGACCTATATAGATATCCCGTGACACCCACCATTATTTTTCTGTAGAAGCCATGGAATAGGCCAGCCCCCCATGTTTTTAACTTTTTTTTTTCAAATTTTGAGCTCTAGTTTCAGATTTTTGAACACAACACCCTTCGATACCTTGCGCAAAAGATGCGCCTGTTTCTCCTCTACAAGACCTATATAGTCATACCCCGTGACACTCCTCATTATTTTTCTCTAGAAGCCATGGAATAGGCCAACCCCCCTGTTTTTTACAATTTTTTTTCAAATTTTGAGCTCTAGTTTCAGATTTTTGAACATAGCACCCTTCGATACCTTGCGCAAAAGATGCGCATGTTTCTTGTCTACAAGACCTATATAGTCATACCCCGTGACACCCCTCATTATTTTTCTCTAGAAGCCATGGAATAGGCCAACCCCCCTGTTTTTAATATTTTTTTTCTTCAAATTTTGAGCTCTAGTTTCAGATTTTTGAACATAGCGCCCTTCGATACCTTGCGCAAAAAATGCGCCTATTCCTCCTCTACAAAACCTATATAGTCATACCCCGTGACACCCCTCATTATCTTTCTCTAGAAGCCATGGAATAGGCCAACCATCCTGTTTTTAACAATTTTTTTTCAAATTTTGAGCTCTAGTTTCAGAATTTTGAACATAGCGCCCTACGATACCTTGCGCAAAAGATGCGCCTGTTTCTCTTCTACTAGACCTATATAGTCATACCCCGTGACACCCCTCATTATTTTTCTCTAGAAGCCATGGAATAGGCCAACCACTCTGTTTTTAACAATTTTTTTTTCAAATTTTGAGCTCTAGTTTAAGATTTTTGAACATAGCGCCCTTCGATACCTTGCGCAAAAGATGCGCCTGTTTCTTCTCTACAAGACCTATATAGTCATACCCCGTGACACCCCTCATTATTTTTCTCTAGAAGCCATGGAATAGGCCAACCCCCCTGTTTTTAATAATTTTTTTTTCAAATTTTGAGCTCTAGTTTCAGATTTTTGAACATAGCGCCCTTCGATACCTTGCGCAAAAAATGCGCCTGTTTCTCCTCTACAAGACTTATATAGTCATACCCCGTGACACCCCTCATTATCTTTCTCTAGAAGCCATGGAATAGGCCAACCACCCTGTTTTTAACAATTTTTTTTCAAATTTTGAGCTCTAGTTTTAGAATTTTGAACATAGCGCCCTACGATACCTTGCGCAAAATATGCGCCTGTTTCTCTTCTACAAGACCTATATAGTCATACCCCGTGACACCCCTCATTATTTTTCTTTAGAAGCCATGGAATAGGCCAATCCCCCTGTTTTTAACAATTTTTTTTCAAATTTTGAGCTCTAGTTTCAGATTTTTGAACATAGCGCCCTTCGATACCTTGCGCAAAAGATGCGCCTGTTTCTCCTCTACAAGACCTATATAGTCATACCCCGTGACACCCCTCATTATCTTTCTCTAGAAGCCATGGAATAGGCCAACCACCCTGTTTTTAACAATTTTTTTTCAAATTTTGAGCTCTAGTTTCAGAATTTTGAACATAGCGCCCTTTGATACCTTGCGCAAAAGATGCGCCTGTTTCTCCTTATTTTTCTCTAGAAGCCATGGAATAGGCCAACCCCCCTGTTTTTAATAAATTTTTTTTCAAATTTTGAGCTCTAGTTTCAGATTTTTGAACATATCGCCCTTCGATACCTTGCGCAAAAAATGCGCCTATTCCTCCTCTACAAAACCTATATAGTCATACCCCGTGACACCCCTCATTATCTTTCTCTAAAAGCCATGGAATAGGCCAACCATCCTGTTTTTAACAATTTTTTTTTCAAATTTTGAGCTCTAGTTTCAGAATTTTGAACATAGCGCCCTACGATACCTTGCGCAAAAGATGCACCTGTTTCTCTTCTACAAGACCTATATAGTCATACCCCGTGACACCCCTGATTATTTTTCTCTAGAAGCCATGGAATAGGCTAACCACCCTGTTTTTAACAATTTTTTTTCAAATTTTGAGCTCTAGTTTCAGATTTTTGAACATAGCGCCCTTCGATACCTTGCGCAAAAGATGCGCCTGTTTCTCCTCTACAAGACCTATATAGTCATACCCCGTGACACCCCTCATTATCTTTCTCTAGAAGCCATGGAATAGGCCAACCCCCCTGTTTTTAATAAAATTTTTTTCAAATTTTGAGCTCTAGTTTCAGATTTTTGAACATAGCGCCCTTCGATACTTTGCGCAAAAAATGCGCCTATTCCTCCTCTACAAAACCTATATAGTCATACCCCGTGACACCCCTCATTATCTTTCTCTAAAAGCCATGGAATAGGCCAACCATCCTGTTTTTAACAAATTTTTTTTCAAATTTTGAGCTCTAGTTTCAGAATTTTGAACATAGCGCCCTACGATACCTTGCGCAAAAGATGCACCTGTTTCTCTTCTACAAGACCTATATAGTCATACCCCGTGACACCCCTCATTATTTTTCTCTAGAAGCCATGGAATAGGCCAACCCCCCTGTTTTTAACAATTTTTTTTTCAAATTTTGAGCTCTAGTTTCAGATTTTTGAACATAGCGCCCTTCGATACCTTACGCAAAAGATGCGCCTGTTTCTCCTCTACAAGACCTATATAGTCATACCCCGTGACACCCCTCATTATTTTTCTCTAGAAGCCATGGAATAGGCCAACCCCCATTTCTGCAAATGTGTATCTTAGTTCAATTAAATAATGACATCAAAGGTGCTGTATTTTACAGGGAAGGACTACTTTTACATACGTTCTAAATTGAAGTGGGTGCACGGGTGGTCTTACACCTACAAATAATCCCTTGACAGATGCTGATTTACTGTGGTACTGAATTTTAGTTTGACTGTCCCTCTGGTATCTTTCGTCCCTCTTTTAGCCTAAAAAGAGATGTGACTTGTTTGATCAATTGATGGGATAAATACCATTTCATGATAGAGTTGAAATTGCAATATTTGAACGGAATTTCTGCCTTTTTCATTTAACGGCCGTTGCTGTCTTATTCATTTTTTCGGTTTTTAGATATATCGCCTTATTGTTCGCTGGCTTATTGTTCGCTTGTTATTGTTCGCTAGCTTCAGCTTGATGTCTGTATGTTTGCGTTGTATATGTATCTGATGTTATTACATGTATGTTTTGTTTATTATATTAGTCGGTTAAAGAGCTCTTAAGAGCTCATGTTCCTTGTTATTATGTATATATGCAACCCGACTTTAAATAAAGATTACCTACATACTAAGATGTTATTTTATTACGCAAAATAGTTTTGACCGACGTCATGTGACACGTTTGACCAATGAAACAAACTTTCGTTCATAGCAATGTAAACATCTCTTGTCGCTAAACAATGCAGAACCCCCAAAGCGAATCCAACATTGAAATCGGCATCACTATCTTTAAACGTTTCAGGACGAAATGCTCCCGTTAATTAAATCGGTTTGTCTATGTTATGGTCGGCTAAAGATTTAGCTGTGTCCAGCATTGTATCTGTTCCATGTATTATAAGAATTTTAGACGATACACTGTACTTGCAAAAACTTGCGATCTTGTTCCTGAAACATAAGAAAAAAATCGGTCATCGAAGAAATTTGAAAATTTTACACACACGCACACATACACACACACACTAATGTACTTTAATAATAAAAAAACAAAAAAAACGTAAAATTTGCAATACAGTATCAACATGCCTTTTACATGAATTACATTTGGATTTTATGAAAATATGTAAAATTGTTAAAAACGCTTTCAAGTGTATATATATATATATAAAGACTCGATCATTAATTTTCAATTAAATTCCAGTAGGATTATAATGTTTTAGATTTTGACACTGTGACTGAAACACATGCAGGGGAAATTGGCCGTCCCTCTTTCCTTCCGAGTTCGATATCTCTGTCAACTATTTGTTGACAATAACTATCATATTAACTTATAAAAGTTGAAAGACTGACCAAGAGTACAAGCTAGTAACGATGGTCTGGATGGGGGTCCTTTATTTCTTTATTCTATAATTTTTAGACCATTTTTCTCTTTTAAATACATCCATTACCGAAATAATATTAATGGTATTTTCTATTCTATTCTATACAGCCACAACACAATTATACATGCAAATCGATATCTCTTAAAGTTCTCAAACTATATAAAATAATGTTTAATAATATAAAATCGTAAAACAATGAACAACTTGTATATAATTTGGTTTATAATTTAGCAGTTTAGTTATTAACCTGGAAATTAACGAATATTGATCTTCATCTCAATAATACTGCTTCATCTTAATTCTGATCTTGACTCATGCAACTATTTCATAAGGTATTTGTCATCATTAGCACTAGTCTGACATGTGACGCGTCGCAGTGAGACCATTTCTCACATATACCGATTTCGTTAAAAGTTCTTATGTTAACATACAAGTCTTCCTGTGTAAGCTTTTGGCTGTTTTTATTACAAGCTTTGACTATAGAAGCCTGATGGAAACTCTTCCTCTGTCAAGTATGTTAACAATAGCTGCCTCCTCAGACACCTCTATGCCTCTCTTTGAATTCTTTAGCACTGTATCAATCGTCCCTGTGAAATTTGAAGGACAAAATATAACCATTTTACAATTTGAAAAATAATGTCAACTTACTTGATTTGTTTCTTGTGACAGGAATTTGAAAAAAATACGGATTTCCCAGTTTATAAATAAAGAAACAAAGGTTCCAACTCCCAAAGGCTAAATTTACCATAGATGACTGGCTATTTGGTGATATAGTTCTTCATAGGGGGTCACCACGTGACGGTGTTAAACCAATCATAATTAACGTCATAATTTACCCGAGGTGCGATAGTTGGTGATATAGTTCTTCACGTGTTTAGATTATATACCTACTTGGCTTTTAAAATATTGGGTTTAAGCGTTCCTGCTAATGGATTATCCAGAATAGCGCTTCGAAAGCACGAAGTTTTTTTTCGGTTGAACACCTGATTAATTCATTTTTATTTTAACTATAACATTTTATTAATACATTATTGAATGGTTATCTTATTAGAGGGTCTGGATGGGGCTTACGGAAAAGAGAATAATTGGCAAAAAGTGCAGAACAAAGGGCAAAACAATAAAGAATAGAGAAAAAATAGTTAAAGATTAAAGAATAGAGAATTGGGTTCTAAATAATAAAGAATAGAGAATGGGGTTCTAAATAATAAAGAATAATGGCGAAATCAAATAAAGAATATAGAAAAAAAAGATCTAAAAAATTAAAGAATAAAGAAATGAAGGACCCCATCCAGACCCTCTTATTAAGCTGCATAATGTGGATAAATCTTTGTATTATCTTTAAAAAGAATTGACAATAAGTGTTAGAACCAATTATATCTGTTCGGACTTGAAATTAATCCCTTTTTCTAACTAGCGATTATCTTTCTTTGAAGGATATCTGAATTTTTATTTATTATTGAAAATACGGGTGATTTAATTTCTCGTAAGAAATAGAAACCAAAACAATTTTTAGAAAACAATTTTGCAACGCGTTGCGGGGGACATAGAAACACCGGGCGTCCGTCCGTCTGTCCGGTCTTGTTAGCGCTCTCACGTGTATAATTCTCGCCAGATTTTTATAAAACTTATATCATAGGTTTATATCAGCAATGTCTTGGACAAGTTCGGATATCAGTGCCAATCATTTATTTTTAAAATAGTTATGCCCCTTGGAAACATTTATTATATGGAAAATTGCATCGTTAGCGCTCTCATGTGTTCAATTCCTGCCAGATTTTTATGAAACTTATGTCATAGGTTTATATCAGCAATGTCTTTGACGAGTTCGAAAACCAGTGCTGGTCAATTATTTTTAAAAGAGTTTTGTCCCTTTGAAACATTAAATATATGGAAAGTTGCATTGTTAGCGCTCTCATGTGTACAATTCTTGCCAGAATTTTATGAAACTTAAATCATAGGTTTATATTAGCAATGTCTTTGACAAGTTCGAAAATCAGTGACGATCAATAATTTCTAAAAGAGTTATGCCCTTTGGAAATATTAATTATATGGAAAATTGCCTTATGGGCGCTCTAGTGTGTACAATTCTTGCCAGATATTTATGAAATTTATATTATAGGTTTATATCATCAATGTCTTTGACGAGTTCAAAAATCAGTGTCGATCAATGATTTTTTAAAGAGTTATGCCCCTTGGAAATATTGATTATAGGGAAAATTGCATTGTCAGCGTTCTCATGTGTACAATTATTGCTAGAATTTGATGAAACTTATATATCATAGGTTTATATCAGCAATGTCTTTGACACTTTCGAAAATAAGTGCTGATCTAATATTTTTAACGAGTTATGCTCCTTGGAAATCATATTGCATTTGCTCTAAAGCCTTCATTTCTCTAAGATATTAATAAAAGGAACAAAAATAAAAGTGCTTTTTTAGTGATTGCTCGTGTACCTTGGATACACAAAATATGTGTAACGCGGGGGACATTGGAACTCTATTCTTTTATATTTTTTTATTCTAAATATATTTTACCACTGGAAGTTAAGCAACCAACAATCAATCCGCTGAATCAATCAATTATACTTCATTGTGTCTCCGTATTCTGCTGACTCAATTAAGTTTGACAGCATGTGTAAGTATTGTGAAATTAATATACAACAGACTTTTGTTGACGCCAGTGTTAGGATAATAGTAATAGGCCGGACGATACAACATGTCGGAGTTATAATACTAGTAAGCAGATATCACAAGTTACCGATTGTTAGAATTTCCCATTACATGTCATAAAACACTGGTTGCAAATACATTTACAACATGCATTACATTAAACCAACACATTTAATGGTCGGGTTGTTGTCTCTTTGACACATTCCCCATTTCCATTCTCAATTTTAAAGTCACCGAAAGCCAACCTGCTGTTGGTTTTATTATTTTGTCGGGTTGTTGTCCGATTATGGCTATGCATAGGATACAGGATTTTGGTTAAGACGGATTTAAGATAAACATGTACATGTAAATAGAAATCTTCTGCGTTATATTTAGCGAGTTAAAACAAAATATTTTCAAGGGAGGTTCAAATATAAATGAAAATATGAAAACAAATTATCTTGCCTGACACAGGATGAAAATGAATATTCTGCCTAAAAAAAATACAGGATATAATAATTGTGCACACAATATGCCGAGCGAAACACATAACCGGCAGTTGCGCTTCCAGAATTTTGAAAAAGGGGAACCCCTGGCAAACAAACGTTTGGAGTGACAATTGTAAAAAATCCTTTTATTAATCACGTTTAAAGCTCCATAAGGGAGGAGGTCGACCCCTACCCCTAAAGTCGTGTCTGGTAACAGATAATTATTTAAAATTCAGTTCGCGAAAAATGTTCCTGCTCCTGTATTCAAAATCAAATTGTTACATTCTAACTATTTCCTACCTCCTGTCTGAATAACTGTTTTATCCATAATATAAATAACCATAAAACTGAATTTAACGTGGGTAAAGACTTATGTAGAACAAAATTGTGAACATGTCACTATTATCAGGGTCTAGACTGATTCGTTTCAATCTTATCAATGTTAAAATTATAGTTTAGGGCAAATAAGGCCATGCTTGAGAATTTATTTGTTTTGCGTTCAAAAATCTTAGCGGGTTCAAAATAGAAACAATTTATGCCTATGTGTAGAATGGTAGATGCAACTATTAAATAAGAATAATTTTAGTGTTATGATATAGCGTCAATCTGTAAAACCATGTTTAGATCTTTTGTTTTTCCCCATGGTTAACTGGTAGTCTTTATAGATTTGACGATGAAAAACAAATGAAAAATAGATATGAAATATCTTTCTAAATTGTACAAATCTGCATTACGTTTTTCTTAAACTGTGATTTTTCTTTCTCTTTAATAATCTCTTATTATTTCTATGCAGTAGGACATTTTTTGTTCAATTACTTGTAAATGGTACATGTTTTGTATTTATAAAGAATTCAACAATTTAAAAAGGAGGAAGTGCATAACACCCGACAAAATTAAACATTCGTCTACTAGTTTACCAACGAAAGGAACGAATGGAAAACAACCATCCTATTTTTGACTTGGTACAAGCATATTCCGAAAACAAATTTCCGACAATTTCAAAATTCAGTAAAAAATCTAAGTTCATTCACAAGATATAACATTGTTAAATTTTCTTCTCAGTAGAAACGAAAATTAACATTAGTATCCTGACTTCTCATTTAAAAGATAATGCGTTTGATGTCTATAGTTGTTTGTTGCTGTTGCTCACATGGCCATATATCGCTTATCGATCACATATAAATTTAATTAAAACTTATTAGAGCAATCCTTCAGGAATTCCTTGATCAGTTAAGATAAAAGATAATATAATATGTTAGACAATATTTTTACTCGCGGCCACCTTTCAAAGTCACACCAAATAAACCCGAATTTACCATATGATTTGGTCGCTGTCAGTATCAATAGCATACATTTTGGGGAAAGTTATAAATGATTTGTACATTTATCATTCGCATAACATATTTATATTGGAATTTACCTTGTGACTTAAATTCAAAAGTTATAATCTTTGATTGATGGATGGATTTTTTCTTTAACGTCCAGTGGCAATTATTACATGCATACCAGGATGATAACATGTTTATGTGACATCAATAATGAAACCTGCTTTGTACTAGACAGTCTAGATGAGTCGGATTTTCAACCTGCTAGTTCACAAGCTAACATGAAGACATCCCCGGACGCATCATTGATATGATTATTACGACTCCGAGCCGACCAGTCTTTGCTCTACCAAAATGCCATATGCTTAGTGCAAAAGTAACAAATACTAATTTTTCAAGTTTTCACCTGACCAGGGATCGAACCCACTTCCGTCCTCAACTGAACCAAGAACGTCATCACCAGCTCACCCTATTTCACAATGGCGATCTTTGCTGGATATCAATATCGATTTTTTTTTTATATTTCTTTCAAGAACGCCTTTGGTCTAGCTTCATACAGATACAGAGAATTGACATAGATCAGGTACGTAAACAGCCAATAGAAAAATGAATAAGGTTGGTACGTTTACGTAAGTAATCTATTCGTACAGAATGAATTGTACAGAAAACCCCCACAGCTTGATGATCGAACACCTCCTTACGTGCCAAAAAATGAAGACTTCAATCGTTTTTTTTTACTTTGAAAACAGAGAAAAAGTGTTTTTCAGATAAGAAAACGTACTGACTTCAGATTATTTAACAGGATAATTAAACCAGAAAACGCTATCATGAAGATGGGTATTGGTAATATAAATAAGGATAATTTAGCATTTATGATACAAAAATATAAGATTTAATTTTGGTGTTAAACTTGGGACGTTGTGTTATTTAAATGTTTGTACAATAGAATTATTTGTTTGATAAATTGAATGATATATGATACACCCAACATGGGATCATATAAGGAAACTAATAACAATAATAAAACTAAATATAAAAAATGTAAAATCAGATATCATTCATTTAAAAAATAAAAATGACATAACCAAAGGTATAGTATTGAAGTACTATGGCATTTTGCCAATAATCAATTACAACCAATTGCAAGTAAATGGAATGTAAACACTGCCATAAAGCCGGAAGTTTTCATATCTAAGTCAAACTTTTAAACCTGTTTTCAAAAGGTACAATGGTGTCCAGTTGTTACAATTTAATTCATCTTGCAATCATAAATCAATCACTGGAAAAGAATGGTAAGCATACTCTCGCTTTATACTAACAATATTTCACTAGGAAAACGCTAACATTTGTCACCATTGGATCAGTTTTAAGATATGAAATCAGATTGTATAAATAAAGCAAATGGAAAGAGCACGGTATATTGTACAGGATTGAACTGACAACACATTTATGGTAAAAATGGATGATTACGTAATAAAAATTCATATCAGCTTGAGTACACAAAACAAGGAATGTAGTCCTTTTGTCAACAAGAAAATCTAGACTTCGAAACTAAAACAGTTAATGGGAAATCGACTATTGGTATTGAGAAAAGGCAGAACATATTGTATAACTATATAATTAAGCACAGTCATTTAATAACATCGCCCTGAAGGATAAAAAGGGGGGGGGGGGGGGGGGTTATATAGGTCTACGGCCATCCATCCGTCCCATTCAAATTTTTTTCAGAAACTACAAATAAAAGCTGTCTGTAATTTGATATCAAGGATGCAATACAATCTGATGTGTTTTCACATTGATCAACCGTCAACTCCCTGTTTTACCGTATACATATAGCTATAATATCATTAATAGGCAATGCAAAGCTCACCGTACAACTTGTTTGCTATTGTGTTTTCATCATACCACATATAAAAATTAGTTATGAGTTACTATTTGTTGTATACTATAAAACCAACTGTCCGAGGAACATGCATTCCTTTAACATGGAATTTGTAGTTTTTAAACCTGCCCCCTATACTGATAATTTTTGTATGGCTACATTTTCTCCAAACTAATGTACAATGTATTAGTATAGTAGTAGTAAACAAAAAATATAAAAATAAAGATAGAGAGGTGGTGCATGTACACAACTAAATTTTTTCATATGCTTCCACTACAAGACTGCATTATGTTGTATAAAACACGCAGAATAAAGGACAAAAAGCTGAATTAATAAAATTGTTTTTACAGAGAAAAGGGGAGCTATGCTCAAGCTCCTTAGGTATTTTTACAGAGAATAGGGGAGCTATGATCAAGCTCCTTAAGTATTTTTAAAGAGAAAAGGGGAGCTATGCTCAAGCTCCTTAGGTAGTTTTACAGAGAAAAGAGGAGCTATGCTCAAGCTCCTTAGGTATTTTTACAGAGAAAAGGGGAGCTATGCTCAAGCTCCTTAGGTATTTTTTACAGAGAGTTTGAGATCAAATATAAGTACCAAAACAAAACCATAAAAGTTTTTGTTGATATGTTATAGTTGAACATAGTTTTTGAGACATCGATTTAAATTAAGTTCAAGTTTAACCAAATTTATAATCAAGTGTAAATCAAAACCCTGGAGGTTTAATTTTAGAACTTATTGATGAAGTGTTTTCATTATCAAAAATTATTCAGTTTTAGAAAAACTGAATTATATAAAATTGTGTGCTTTTTAACATGAAGGAATTTCAATTTTTTGATAATTTATCCTTTTTTATCACCAAACTATGTCATTGCTATTTCATTCCATCTGTTGAAATGGCCATTAAATATGATTTAAATTCCATTTGCTAACCATTTTAACACTTAAAGTGAGCTAATATAAGGGTTTGATTATAACAATTGGATGCTTATTTTGTTATGTCAATCGAAGGTGTGAGTATGTTCTAAATTTGTCAGACAACAAGCTTTAAATATTCATAAAAAATGACCAAGTATTGTCTGACCTATACTTCTAATGCAATTATTGTTTTGTTTGATCTTAGATTTAAGTAAGAGAATGATATTTCTTACGATCGTACTTATCATTAAGAAAGGAATTGTCATTCTATAACAAAACTTAGAATATAGACGTCCCTCTGGCAATCCTACTTAATCTCCTTATCTTTATTTGAGTATATACATCTTTGTTACTGACCTTTTACTTACAGTTATTCAAAATACCTCAAACACAAAAACATAAATTTAAAACAATGAGGCATGAAAATAAAATCAGAATAAGACACCTGTCAGACAGACATGTGCACCTTACAATTATTTTATACACCAAACATAGTTGACCTTTTGTATGTTATTATTGTAAAACTAAACTAATCTTACAAACTAAACTAATCTTACAAACTAAACATTGATACAATTCTAATATAACGAGGTCGAGGTCTGATGAAACCTGTCACAGGGACATGGCCTCCTTACATTACTTTTAAACACCTATACATATAATAGACGTATAGTTAAATTTATAATAGTATACTTTTGATAAAAAGTAAAATAACAAAAATACCGAACTCCAAGGAAAATTCAAATCGGAACGTCCCTTATCAAATAGCAAAATCAAATGCTCAAACATGTCAAACGAATGGAAGACAACTGTCTTCCTGACTTGGTACAGGCATTTTATTAAGTAAGTACCGAGCCACGTCAAATGAATATTACAAAAAATAGACTAAACAGTAAAAGTAATAATTTACAAAGTAAAATAAAAGAATTCTATAACACGTTATTAAGATGATAAACAACGTCAGTACCTAGAATCTATACTTCAAGACCATCGTGTATCATTTGTGAAGTTGATACGGAATATTTATCAACAAGGTTTTGGTATCTTCTGATGAATTTTTATAGAAAAAGGACGAGACGTTCTTTGACATACCCCTGGTTCATCAACTTTCTGCTTAGACACTGGGGACGTTTTACAAAGTCTGAGTAGCAGCTGCAAGCTTTTGAATACCGAATGAGTTGGGATTTGTATATCCCATGTGCAGGTGAAGTTGGTATATTGCTACTAAAAAAGGGACGAAAGATACCAGAGGGACATTCAAACTCATAAATCGGAAATAAACTGACAACGCCATGGCTAAAAAAGAAAAAGACAAACAGACAAACAATAGTACCCAAACACAACATAGAAAACTAAAAGACTAAGCAACACGAACCCCACCAAAAACTGGGGGTGATCTCTGGTGCTCCGGAAGGGTAAGCAGATCCTACTCCACATGTGGCACCCGTCGTGTTGCTCATGTTAGCACAAACCCGGTAAATACGGTAGGTCACATTCGTGAAAAGGGAACGGGATTGTAGTTACGACATTAGGAACATATCTGCTATCATCTGTGAAACGGATATTCCATAGCGGTCAACCAACTCGTCATGGCGTCCGTAAAATTTACGAAGGGATGATTTCAACTTCACCATTTGGAACTCTTGGTTTAATAGCTTCCTTGTGAGCAGCAACCCTCTACTAAGGTTGAGAAAATTGATAATTTCGAAATTAAAATCGTCTTGTTTGTCATTGATTCTGGTACTGAGATGACCGCTTATGTCAAATTCGAGGTATAAGTCTAAAATGAGGCGGAAGAAGCTGTGTCTGTTGTTTCTTTAATGTCTAGTGCTGGAGAATATATTAATGGAACCCAATCAGAAAAGTTTGGATTGTTAATGGAAAGAACATCATCAATATATCTGAATGTGAAATTAAATGATCTGGCTTCTTTGATCTTCATGTTTTTGACAAGTGGCTGAAGGAACTCCGACTCATATGAAAATAAGAAGAGGTCGGCAAGGAGAGGCGCACAGTTCGTTCCCATAGGAATGCCGACAATTTGTTATTGTGAACATTTAAACATTATGAAATTCATAAACATAGTATTGATGCATGAAAATAAAGATGTATATATAAAAAAGATGTGGTATGATTGCCAATGAGACAACTCTTCACAAGAGACCAAATGACACGGAAATTAACAACTATAGGTCACCGTACGGTCTTCTTCAATGGGCAAAGACAATACCGCATAGACCGGTATAAAAGGCCACGAAATTACAATTGTAAAACGATTCAAACGAAAAAACTAACGGCCTAATTAGTGTACAAAAACATAAACGAAAAACAAATATGTAACACAGCAACAAACGACAACTAAATGAACTAAAAACAAATAGGTAACCAACAACAAACGACAACCACTGAATTACAGGCTCCTGACTTTGGATAAGATTTCATACAAATAGTTTTTCCTTTCCATGTGCAAAAGAGGTCCTGTAAAAAGTCCTAGGACATTAGACCATCAAAATATACTGAAAGTATTTAGCTATTCCTTATTTTCCAATCATACTCCAGAGGAAATAAGAGTGGTGGTTTGGCGATATGAGCATTCATCCAGATGTACACTTCGAGTGTAACTCCAATCATGCACTGTCTGAATGTTGCCTCTAAAAGAGATAGTTTCGACAAGGAAGCATCCTTAGATAGCGCTGACTTCACTCCGAATTCGTTGATATCTCCATGTACTATTTGAGCCGTGTCTTTGAGGTCATATAGACCAGCGATTAGTTGTCTTCCCACTGTAACAGAAGTTTCGATATCAGAACCAGCTAGATTTTACAAACTTTGAAAGATTAACGGGGTTTCTCTCAACGCCTTATTAGCTGCTTAATGCTAATGCCTAGGAAAGAAGACATATCTCATCCTGTAAGAGCCAGATCAGCTGGTATTGTGCTAGACATGACTAGTTTCAAAAACATTGCATATGCCATGGACGGGTATTATCCGTCTTCCAGACTTCGTTGAAGAAATGCATCCTGTCTGTAACCGCAATTCATCAATGTTTGACATCTGTGGAATATAATTTACACTAGTCACTGTCAATGTCTGGTGAATTTATTACAATGCGACCCCTGGAAAAACCCAGTATTTGAGAATTCGAATATCGCTCGGTAGTAGCGAGTATCGAATATCAAAATGGGATTCGATTAATCGGTTTCCTGTTAGTACATTGTTCTCTTCTTTTAATGAATGGAATTTTTGGAGATTTCAATAGAAATTTCGAAGTAATCTTATCTTAATAATCGTTTCGTTTGTTTGTGCAATATTGTCACTTAAAATGCTTCCGAAATCTTTCGTTTTGAAAAACTTCACAAACATGTTGCACCATATAAGACCGAAATGTCGAACAAACAAAATAAAGTAAAACGGACAATTAGGCATCACATCGATGACTTCTTAATATATAATACCGTAGTAAATGTCTTTCTAAGAATAATGAAAATGAAAAATGAG